CTGTACACTACATAAATCATGAGCTTTATCAAGTCTTTAGGATGCTCTCACCTACCTTTGTGTTAGAAAGACAAGGCTGCCAGTTTCTCCATTGTGAAGGCTCTGCCTTGCTTCACCCAAACACAGGCACAACCAGCAGTGTTCCCCCAAACACCAAATTAGAAGCCTAATATAATAGTCAGCATAGGGATTTGTGTCAGATACTTGGGGTAGATGTAATTTCCAGTGGAGAAGGCTTGTGCTTGCAGATGCAATGGGAGTTATTAAAAAGTTACTAAGCAACACATATGTGTGTGCTTGCTCCCTCTATCTCTCTGCACCCCCCACCGCAATGAGAAGACAATGAGGAGGTTATGAAAGTGTATTCGGGGAAGCCTGAACAGTTCTCATAAGCTACTTCTCTGGGCTAGATCACCATTGGGCTTTGTGCAAAGTCTTTTACGCCCTTGTGCAGCCATTTGAAACAGCCAGTTTCATATGACAGATATCACAATTTGGTCATATTATTGATTTTCTCTAAAAGATCAGTGACAATGATCAATCACAATATGCATTTAGTACCTTTTGGGTATCAGATAACCAGCACTGCCTCTACGTTCATGGAGTTTATTGTCTGTAGGGAAATCTGGCATGGATTACACCACAGGTTGTTATAATGGTTGGTGGAATAAAGATAGGGAAAAATGCTGGTCCTGGGAACCTTGAAATGCTTCTCTGACAGATGCTTCCTTAGTGTGTATGCGATATTAGATAATAAAAATTCATATTGTTTATTAAATTACTTTATCAAACATTTAAAATAATCAACATGGGTTTTTAATGGTCCTGAAAAATCCAGGTATTGGCTAGGAACATCATTACAGAGCCCTAACCTGAGATTTGGATTCCTGGCAATCTGGTTGCCTGCCCCATGTGAGTCCCTCCTAGCATGGAGGTCCTTGGAGTCACAAATGGTGCTTCAGTTCAGCATTTGGTGGATGACAGTGGAAGAAGCATAGATATCTCAGCAGGTGTGAAGAATTCTATTCTTATATCTCCTAGAAGGGGAGCCTACATGGAAAGGGTTCTTCTGGTTTATGCTCTTCCTTCACTCAGCCTGCCCTAGGAAGGTTGGCATGAGTTATGAGATGGCATTTTTGGGAGAAAATTGGGTAGAGTAGCTCAGCTCCCCCATCTTTTTGTTTTAGTGGCATCTGTCTCCTTGTAGTAGAAAGCATGCCATCTTTTTAAGGCCACTTGGTAGGCACAGCAATAGTAAGCACAGCACTCCAGGGCTCCTCCTAAGTGGGTTAATCTGTCTGAAGCAGCCACTGGGTCAGATAAAAGTCCTGTCCTCCCTAGAACACAACCAGTAATTTAGCCGATGCTTTTTTTTTTATTTAAAAATTTGTTTATTTTTATTGTGTGTATGCACACATGTGTGCACTTGTATTGCCACAGTGTATGTGTAGAGGACAGAGGACAAATTTTGGGAGTTGGCACTTTCCTTCCGCAGTGGGTTCCAGAGATGGAACTCAAGCCATCATGCATGTGTAGCAAGCACGTTTACCTACAAAGGTATCTAACTCATCCTAATACTTTGTTTTTTCTTTATTTTTAATTAGCATACAGGTAGAAAGTTTTGGATATCAAGCAATGACTGTGTATGACTTGTAGAGGTCAACTTAAATTTTCTTGGTCTTAGATGGGAATTAAATTTGGGAATTCAGGGAACCTTAGACAGGTATTTCTCCTCTCCATTCATTGATTATACTCCTCTCAATGTGCAGTGATAGTTCTCTGTAATAAGTCTTTTTCTGTCCCTCCATTCAGCTCCCAAATAATGACACGGAGACTTCTTATTAATTATGAAAGCTTGGCCTATAGCTTAGGCTTGTTCCTAACTAGCTCTTATAATTTATAAGTTAAATTAACACTCTTATATTAATATATCTTCTATCATGTGGTGTTACCTCTTTTCCATCTTACACCTCCTGTTTCCTCTGTGTGTCTGACTGGTGACTCCACCTTTTTTCCCCCCCAGAGTCCTCTCTGTCCCTGGAATTCCCACCTAGCCTCTTCCTGCCTAGCTATTGGCCATTCAGTTCTTTATTAAACCAATCACAGTGACACATCTTCACAGTGTACAAATATCCCCATCAGTTCTCTTATTTGAACAATGAAATCACATTAAATCTTTGCGTTGTTGCTAAGCCTGCACTTACTAAAAGTCAGTGCATTGGCCTGCACAATGTTCAGGAGAAGAGTAAGCTTTTTTGAAGGTTGAGACTTTCTTTTCTTTTGTGGAACTTGTCCGTTACTGTCTGTGTGAACAGACACTATCCAAAGGTTGGCAAACTGCCTGCTGGCTTCTTCTCTCCTGCCTTCTGGTGTGACTCTCCAAGTCTAGATGTCCTATCTTCTGTAAGTTCTTGTCATCTTGGGGACAGCAGATCTTGGGAAGCTGGTTGTATAGTCAGGAGGCAGATAGGAGGTGCATGGTTCCACAGGGTCCTCAGTTGGCCTGGCTGGCAAAAGGGAGTATGTTGGTGTCTAAAGACACAAAGAAACCAGAGTAGATCTTCCTAGTAGAGGCATCTCTGATGGACACATCTACTTTAAATGTCTTTACTTCCAAAGAGCAGTTATATGTAAATGAAAGCCTGTTCTATATTGCCCTAGGTGATGGAAAATACGAAATACACCTCATGGAGCTGCACATGTTTAGGTAGGGGAAGGACAGAGATTTTGGAGGGCTCACTTTAGACAGAAGAGAGTTAAGTATGGTTATGTTGATTAAGATAGACATGAAGCAGAAGTGGAGTTTGTTCTCAGTGTCAGACTGCTGAAGGAATAACATGGTGAAATCTAGGTAATACTGACTCAACAGATGACAGACATAGAGAGAGATGAGCCACAGTGCAATATCATTGGTCCATTGGACTCAGGTATGTTAGGGTCTTGTACAGCTGAGGCAGCAAGAAGCTGTAGCAAAGGGCAATGCCCTTCAGTATTTGCTTAGAGAATGGCTCAGCAGCCACAAAAGATGCTGTTTAATGGAGTAGATTTTTTTTCATGTTATTTATCCAACCTATCCATAAGAGGTCCCTTCAAATTCTGCCATCTGGTGGGAGCAATTTCTAGAAGACCTGCACCTGTACCAGAGCTCTGTCCTTGTTTCTGGTGTCAGATGAGATATTGTTTCTTCATTGTATATCTTACATACAGTGTGATTTAACCAAAGCATTATAACAAACACTGGATTAAATAACTTTTGTGTTTGATATACATTATCTAATAACAGATGGTTGTTACAATTATTATAAAAATACATTATTATAAATTTTTTTGAGATAGCATCTCACTATATAGTCCTGACTGGCTTGGAACCCCTTATGTAGACCAGACTAGCCTCAGCTCACAGAGACCTTCCTTCTGCTGCCTCCTAAGTGTAGGGATTAAATGAGTGGGCTACCACGTCCAGATGAAAGTTGTTTTTTATGAAGAAACTCCTTTCACCTTTGTCTTGATTGGTGAACTCAATAGGCCAGTGAGTGTGAAGAGCATCTGATGGGAAAGGCCTCATTTTCTTTTTCTGTTTTATTCTTCTCTCATAAAATCATCCTGACCACAGTTTCCCCTCCCTCCAATCCTCCCAAGACTCTTTTCTCCCAAGAGCCACTCCTCTTCTGTTTCTCTTTAGGAAAGTGCAGGCCTCCCAGGGATATCAACTGATTGTGGCATACAATAATACAACAAAACTAGGCACAAACTCTCATATCAAGGCTGGATGAGGCAACCCAGTAGGAGGAAAAGTGTCAGAGGAGCAGGCAAAAGAGTCAGAGATCCCCCTGCCCTTCACTCTTAGGAGTCCCATAAGAGCACCAAGCTAAACAACTATAACATATATGCAGAGGACCTAGCTCAGACCCATGTAGGCTCTGTGATTGCTGCTTCAGTTTCTGTGAGCCTCTAAGAGCCCTGCCTTAGTTGATCCTGTGGACTGTGTTCTCTTGGTGTCCCCAACCCATCTGGCTCCTACAGTCCTTCCTCCCCCTCTTCCGCAGGGTTCCCTGAGCTCCATCTAATGTTTGGCTGTGGGTCTCTGCATCTGCTCCCATCAGTTGCTTGATGAAGCTTCTCTGATGTTAATTGGTTTAGGCTCTGTTCTGTGAGTGTAGCAGAATATCATTAGGAATCATTTCATTGATCTTTCTTTCTCTTTCCTTTCTTTCTTTCTTTCTTTCTTTCTTTCTTTCTTTCTTTCTTTCTTTCTTTCTTTCTTTCTTTCTTTCTTTCTTTCTTTCTTTCTCCTTCCTTCCTTCCTTCCTTCCTTCCTTCCTTCTTTCCTTCCTTCCTTCCTTCCTTCCTCTCTTTCTTCCTTCCTTTCTTTCTTTCTTTCTTTCTTTCTTTCTTTCTTTCTTTCTTTCTTTCTTTCTTTCTTTCTTTCTTTCTTTTCTTCCTTCTCTTCTTCTTCTCTTCTTCTTCTTCTTCTTCTTCTTCTTCTTCTTCTTCTTCTTCTTCTTCTTCTTCTTCTTCTTTCTCTCTCTCTCTCTCTCTCTCTCTCTCTCTCTCTCTCTCTCTCTCTCTTATTCAGCTTCTGGTTCCTGGCCATTCAGGCAGTGTCAGGCATGAGCTCCCTCTTGTGCTATGGGCCTCTAGTTAGACCAGTCATTGATTAGCCACTCCTGCAAGTGATACACCACCATTGTCCCAACACATCTTGTAGGCAGGACAGATTGTAGGTCAAAAGTTTTGTGGCTGGGTTGGTGTCCCAGTCCTATCACTGGAAGCCTTGCCTGGCTATAGAAGATGGCTGGTCCTGGCTCTGTATCCTCCATTATTAGGAGTTGTTGCCAGGGTCACCCTTGTAGATTCCAGGGAGTTTCCCACTGCATTAGGTTTCCACATAGCCCCCCAAAGGCCACCCAATTCCGCTGTCTCTCCCTGTACTTTCTCAGGGATCATTTTTAAAGTTCATTTTCAAATATGACCACAGAACATCTCCCTTGCCTAAGGCAGAGGGGGAGGTAGTGCCATGGGTCATGCACACCTCCAGTAGAGTGGAGGAGTATGTTTCCACTCACAAGCTAAAAAGCGCTTTCTTTTTCTCTATCACCTTCCACAGAGCATCTTTGATCTCTTTGTTCCTCAAACTGTAAATGAGAGGGTTCAGCATGGGGATCACCATCGAATAGAAGACAGACACTACCTTGTCTCTGCTTAATGAATAGCTGGAACTGGGCCGCAGGTACATGAAAAGTGCTGTCCCAAACAGCATGGTCACTGCCATGAGGTGTGAGGCACACGTGTTGAAAGCTTTCCATCGGCCTTCCACGGAGTGGATCTTCAAGACTGCAGACACTATGTAACTGTAGGAGACCAGGAGGATGATAAACGATGTCCCTCCTACTGTGATCACTACAAGGAAATTCACCACTTGGCTGAGGAATGTGCTGGAGCAAGAAAGTGCCAGGATCGGTGGGAGATCGCAGAAGAAGTGGTTGATGACATTCGGTCCACAAAAGTGGAGCTGAAATATGGAACTGGCTTGAATAAAAGAACTCAGGAAGCCACCAAAATACGCCGCAGCCACCATGCGCATGCAGAGACCCTGGGACATGATGGCAGTGTAGAGCAGGGGGCTAGAGATGGCAGCATATCTGTCATATGCCATTGCTGTCAGCAGGAAGCATTCAGTGAGGCCCAGACCAACAAAGAAGAAGAACTGAGTGGCACATCCCCAGAATGAGATAGTCTTCTGCTCTATAAAGAAATCAGAGAGCATCTTGGGAGCTACAGAAGACGAGTAGCAAATGTCAATGAAGGATAAGTTGCTGAGGAAGAAGTACATGGGTGTGTGCAAACGGGTGTCACCTCTGATCAGAAAGATGAGGGCCAGGTTCCAGGTCAAGGTCACGAGATAGATGCCCAGAAAAGTCAGAAAGAGGAAAATTTGGAGTTCTGGGTGGTCTGAGAATCCCAAGAAGATGAACATGGTCACAGAGCTGTTCCAGGCATTAGTTACAGTCATGTTTCCCATGGACCACAAGGATAAGGGGCAGACCTGGGTTAATAATGACCATCCACATTACAGATGCTATGGACAAGTGGTTACACATGCATGAGGGGCTGGAACTACATGGGGCTAAAAACAAAAGGGGCCGGGGAGATGACCCAGTCAATAAAATGCTTGCCATGTAAGTATGAGTGTCCAAGTAAGATTTCAAGAACTCATGTTAAAAAGCCAGTACAGGGGATTAGGCAGCCAGCCTAGCCTACTTGGCAAATTGCTAGCCAGTAATAGACCTGTCTCAGAAAACAAGGTAGGTGGTGCCTAATAAGTGACAGCAGAGGTTGCCCTCTGGTCTCCACATGCATGTACACTTGTACACATATGAACATGCACACACACCAATGTACATAAAGATGCCTCCCCCCCTACAATTGCACCATTGTCTTAAATGTTTGAATAGTAAACTGTAGCTGAGATGATTCTCACTTATGGATTCAGAATTCCAGGAATCAGTTCATGTCTGCACCATTTACTCATGGTATATTACTTTGGTGATCTATCTAATATCTCTAGTTTCAATTTCTCTATCTTTAAACTAGGTCGCAGTAAGTACTTCATGGATTTGCTTTAAAAACAAATAAGGTGACATGTATAAAATTCCTACACATAGTAAGTGGCCAGACAGTTATTAAGATGTGTGTTCCAGAAGAGCCACTGTGTCCATGCCCTAGGGCTTTGTGTAAGATGAAACAGAATGTTACAGTTTTTGTATCTTTTGTCAAGGCACTGGTGTTGAGAAATGCAACTTTGGTGAAGGATTAGTGTCTTTCTTCTGGGACTGAGTTAGTTCTTACAGGAATGGGTTTGTTTACAGAAAATGGGCTCATTAAAAATAGGTCAATTTCTTTGTTCTCTTCTCTTCTACACACACCTCTCTTCCTTCCTGCTTTCTCCCACCTTGTGATGTAGCATGAAGCCCTCACCAGGTATGGCTGCCTAATTATGGACTTATAACCTCTAGAGCTGTGAGCTAACTGAAATCTTGTTGCTATGTTACCCAGTCTCAGACACTTTGTCATAGCAACAGGAAAAGACCAATATCACACAATATAGGAAGAATGAATATTATACCCACTTACACAGTTGAAGAGGGAGAGTCTGAGAGGCTCAGGTTCACCTATGCCAGAACTTTCCACTTTGTAAATAGCATTAACCTTCAAGAACACAGGAAAATCAAGCACCTAACACAGAATGTTGTGCATAGAAAACAGTCGAGTTTTCTTTCCTGACTTAGCCCTAGAAAACATCTGGAGAAAGCTCTATGATTTATAAATTGCCTGGTTTGAGCTTAGACTGTTGTGAGAGGCCACAGAGATTTCCTAGTGAGATCTGAGCTTGCTTTACCAGCAGGGCTGCATAAGAGGATGATTGGACCATGGACCTGGACCTAGTACCAGGTGTTTGGAAGGGTCTACACTTGGCTGTATCTAGCAAGGGGGAGCTCTTTTGCCTTGCCCCTTGGCATTGTTATAAAAAGCCCCTTTGAATAAAGTTCTGGGCCAGGTCCTCCCAAGGCTATTCTGTGTTTCTCTGTCTTTCCTCTCATCGTCCAGGTATCTCTTTCTACCTAAATATTTCTCACTTCCCCCCTCCTCAAGAGTTCCCTGGACATAAATCTGGGAACAGGTCTCCCACAGACTGCACAGTTGGTTTTGGAGGGAAACATGAAGACGCGGACAAACCTCAGGCAAACTGCAGAGTTGGCGGCACTCTGACTTTTCTCATCAACCTGATCTGAGTCTGTCCTTCGTTCACTCTGTGTGCCTCATGCCTCACCACGCAGGTGCTGGGAGCCCTCAGTTTTGCTGTTCCAGCTCTTTCTTTCATCCGGTGTGCGAGTGATCGATGAAGCGGAAAGAGTCCTATTCAATACAGGGAGACTGTGCAAAAGGAGCCAAGACTTTAACCCAGCAATGCGGATTCAGATAGTAAAGTTCAAAGCATGTGTGGGGTTAGAGGTCCCTACAGTGTTTGGAGAATCTGCTATGTAAAGCCTGTCTTAATTACATGCTGTCCAAATTACTCTTTGAAGTATTTACTAATAATTGGGGCTGTATCCTTCAGAAACTTCATTTCCTCTTTTTCCCCCCCTCTGACATTAATTTTTTTCTGTGTGTAAGCATACATGTGTCACAGCATGCATGTATGTGTGTACCATTGCATGTGTGGAAGTCAAAAGACAAATTGTGGACATCAGTTCTCTCCTTCCATCATCTGTAGGCTCCAGAGATAGAGTTTAGGTCCTCAGACTTGGAGGCAAGTGCCTTTACTCTCTGACTCTATTCCCTCTGAATTCTTTTCTTAACTGCAAAGGCTTAAATATGTTTTCGAAGTCTGTCAAGGAGAAGATAATTTGAACAAAAAAGTTGGTTGCTGTTCTAGAACCAAGTCTTGAGTTCATTGGTATTCTCTCTCTCTCTCTCTCTCTCTCTCTCTCTCTCTCTCTCTCTCCCTCCCTCCCTCCCTCCCTCCCTCCCTCCCTCCCCCTCTTTTTCTTTTCACCCAACATTGAAGTGTGCAATGTAACAATGAAGACAGACTACTTTTCAAATGTGGAAAAACAGAAAAAGAAAAACAAGTTGCTGTGATCATTATATGAGGCAGAAAATATTTTGAAGGGAAAACCACAGTAACAGAATTAGTTCTCTTTTTCCCTCTTCCAACAACATGGTCATTTAATATCCGGTACAGAATTATGTCAAATACTTCTACACACATCAGTTAATAATGCACTGTGACAGGGAGATTATTTACCTGCTTCACTGATACAGTGAGTGCACAGGATTCAGAGACACATGGCAGGATTTATCGGGAATCTTTAATTTCTATATGCTATCTTGAATTCCAGTTTTGAATTGGATAAGAGAAAGCTCAAACGTGAAAAAAATAAAGGTTTTTCAGAAACAGCCATTCATTTTGTTCTGTTTTTCAGATTTTATGCAAGCATAGAAATGACAGATGAGAGCATTTGGAAACAAATATATATATCCGACATTTTGAAAAGCATAATGCTAAAATATCGATGAGTTACTATTGCCTCTGAAAGATATGAAAGAGCTATAAACTGTGTTTTTCTAATTAAAAGAAACCTAGAGACTGCACATTATATAATTCCAAATACATATTCTGAAAAAGGCAAAGCTATGGGAACATTAACAAGGTCAGAGATTGCTAATGCTCTGGGGAAGGGAAGAATGCAGATGCAGAGCACGAAGCATGCACTGGTCAGGGGGTCATCTGTAGGACACTGCAGTGGTGGATACCTGTCGTCATATGTCTTTGCTAACCTATACCATGTTCAGTCTCAAGCATAAACTCAGAGTATTAATAAACTGCACACTGGATGCCATTGACATGTCAATGCAAGCCCATCAGTGGCAACATTCTATGGAGGACGTTGGTCCTAGAAGATGCAGAGGCCATGTAGAAAAACCTCCAATTCATAGCTGCTGCCAACATAAAACTACTCTAAGAAATAAAGCAAATTTCCTTAAAAAAAGCACAAAAAGAAAACTCTCAAAACAGATTTGGCTGAATCTGAGGACGGGTAGATAATAATGAGTGGTACAAAGAACAAAGCTATACTACAAACCCTGAGTGCTGGCTGTCCGGTCTCTAGGGTGCTCTGTAACTAAGATCAATGTAGTTATGAAGTGAAGAGTTAAGTTAAGAGTGAGCCACGGGTGACCACACTTACCCTCTCCCTCGCTCTGTCTTTCACTGATGCCAGTCTCTAATTATCCTTATTTTGAAAGAGTTTAACCAGACTTCAGTGGCTGCATCATCCAAAATGCTGATGAGTTTGGAGAAGGAATTGAGGCTGGCTTTCAAGGATCACAATATCTGCTTGGTACACAGAAAGAGTGTGGATAGAGAAATGGAGGGGAAGGATACGGCAAGGATGGGGAGAGCTTGAGATCTTTAAGAGGCTCCACCGGAACCAGCTAATATATTCATTTGGGGTCAGTTTTGGAAGTGTTTGGAAACTGGTGTTGGGGGTGAACACGGGAAGGGCTTGTTTTTTCTCTCCTTGGAGAGGGTTCATTACATTTGCCCTAGAGGTTCTTTATGAATGAGAAAGGAATACATTTCTCAAACTTGAAGGCTTTGTACTTAATTGATCTCTGGGGTTACATACAGTAAAACTCATAAATGCTCCAAAGACAATGTTTATTAAATGTCATCTCTACGGCCATGTCCTCCATCCCCCGAAGGGCAATCAACGTATCTTTTGGTACACGATGCAGAAGCTCTGGGTTGCAACAGAACACAGTAACAACATGAACACCTGGCCTAAGAAAGCAAGACTGGCTACACATGAACACGTTTACTGACCCCTTTCTGCTATGTAATATGTATAGCCGGACTGATGGGTGCTTACTGAGCTCTTACTATGTGTTAAACCCTGTATTTCAGGCTTTTTGTGTGCTAATTCATGAATATCCTGTAAATCTCCACAAAGTTCAGAGGAGGAAACAAATTCAAAATGGTTAGTAAGCTGCTGAAACATTAAAAGTGAAAAACTGATCCTATTTATCATTAGATCATTCCATTGACTCAGAATCTCAGCATAATAGTTTAGAATAACTCTGCAGGCCTTTTGGTACTTTGCTTAGAAATTTCTCCTGTTGGAATGTTTGCACACCCATTTTCATTGGGGTTCAACTCTCAATAGCTAAGAAATTGAACCAACCAAGATGCCCATCAATTGATAAATGTGATACGTTTACTCAATGGAGTATTACTTACCTATACAGAAAAATAAAATTATGGAAATTTCAGGTAACTGGATGCAACTAGAAAAAAATTATACTGAAGTCCTTCAGGCCCAGAAGACAAATGCTGTGTGTTTTGTCTCATAGGTGGATCCTAGCTTGGACTCTGTTGTTTTATATGTTTAACCTGGAGCACATGTGAGAGCCTAAAAGCCAGAAGTGGGCCACTGGGGGAAGATTCCTTAAGAGGGGGGAGTGTAGTT